TTATAATTATACTATACTATTTTGTGTACATTATAATTATAGTAAGCAATTTTAACGATATGTATGTACATAAATCATGATAAAGTATGTTGTAAGCGCTTTTTGACTCGAGCTCGTTGATGTCTTTTAACTGATAGCACCTCGGAGCGATGGCGACGGATTGTGGAGACGTGAAGATAAAACTGTACGTGCTTTTTCTAAACTATTTACTTGTTTTAAGGTTTCAAAAGTTACCTATTGTTAGAATACTTACTTCTTTTTGTATTAAATCTTTCGAAAAATAGCATCTTTTATATTAATTTTGCTAAGAATACTCCTTTTGCATCACATTTTTCGGAAAATAGCATTTTTTATATTATTTTTCTTAATTGTGTAATTTATTTTTCACATAAACTTCTTGTAGGAACTCCAAATTGAAATTTAGATTGAGTCAATCAGGCTTTATTTGCGCACACTAATGATCCGGTCCGGTTTTGCAGGGTATTTTTATAACACGGGATAAACGAGCATGCGGCTCACCTGATGGTAAGTGACTAGACTAGTCTAGTATGTAGATAGAATTTTAGAATATAAAATATAGCATACATTATTCTATGAAAATGTAGCATTCTACAGGTGAAAGAGATGTTAAAATCGTTTATTTAGTTTTTGAGTTTATTCATTACAAACAAACAATCACATAATATAATTTTATACAAATAATTTAGGGCTAAAAATGTCATACAAAATACATGTAGTATATTCAATTTAAATTCATATCTGTTTTCAGTTGCTATGCAAAATGTTTATTTTATAGTCATAAACTCAACGTTTCGCTTCATACATTTTTATTATGTAATCAACACAATAATATTGGAGTCGTTATTAGTTTAGCTAATATATATATAGCAAATATATTGTTTAAATATTATTATGAATAATTTATTTATTTATTTTGCATACATTAAAATGTTTATACACATTAAAATATTCGGTCTATAAATTAAATATTAATTAATTTGCAGATATTTTTAGAAATCTGATAAATAAGATTAGAAGTTTTTAAATGGATTGAAATACATATAATATAGATGATAAGCAGATTCTATAAAAGCAAAAAAGGTATGACATAGTTATCCTAACTACCTTATTATTGTGAAAGTAAACTGATTTGTTTATTTGTAAACTTCTAAACTGCTTAATCAATCATTATGAAATTTGGTATACACGTATTACATGGGATAGAGAAGGACATAAGTTATTTTTATCCCGCTTATTGAATATATCTTAGTCCAGTGGACGAGGTCAGGTGTAAGAGCTAGTCATAAATATGAAGAGCAATATTCTAAGATATGTATTCTAATATTGATACTAGTAACTTGAAATAAAGGATTGATATTATTTAGCTAGAAATGTAAAACTTTTTAAATAACTTTACACTTAGGTTATTTATGTAATGAATACCATGATATCATTCCTATAGTATATTTTGTTGTGAAATATTATTTTGTAAGAAGCGTGTTAGTTTAGTCAAACAGAAATTTGAGTATAACTAAACGGTACCATTCGTGGGTTTACTTTAAATGTTTACAACACGTAACCTGCGACATAACTGCTGTTGAAAACGCTTATAGCAAATAACTTCCGCGTATTAAATTCGGTTACCGGAGTCAACAAAGAATCTTATTTAAGTTAAAATTAATTGGACCTCATGAATGTTTTCCGGTGTCGGCTTGTAATAATTGTTCGAGCATTGTTAGTTTGTTTGTTTTAATTTTTTTTTTATTTTATATTTCATATAGAGAAAATTTATACGTAAAAAATACACAGCGGGATTTTATCAAATAGGGACTAATATTAATGTACTTGTATGTAACATTATTATATTTATAAAGAGAAAAGATTTGATTTTTTGTATGTTTGTTTGTAATGGATAATCTCAAAAACTACTAAACCAATTTTTAAAATTCTTTCACCTGCAAAAAATAATATTATCGGCAAGTTGTTAGTTACTGATAATGTCAGGTTATATATTATTAAAAAAAATAGAGATGCCTACAAAAATTACAATAATGTAACACGAAATATATAAAAAATACCTATTAAAGCGAATATAAAATATTAATTTATATTTCTATCTATGCAAATCTGCGAATGGCGAGGTGAATCGCTAGTTTCAAATGGAGAAATCATGTCTAGCCATTGTATTGATTGGATTGGATGATTGTTTATATTTGATGGTATTATTTTATTTATTATTTTTTTATTATCATTATAAAAACACATATGTCGTTATATTGAAGTCCTATTACATTTTAGTATTTACTTTACATGAATTATTATAATTACTATTGATTGAAATTATTTATTTTAACTTTATTGACCATTAAAATGTGGTATAAAAGGTGAACTTAATGCTATAGGCATTCTCTACCAGCCAATCTTTAGGATGTGCAGAGATACTCGGTGGCGGTTTATAAAAATAAAATTATTTGTATTTTAGAATAAGATAATAGATGGTAATTACACATATACAAACATTCATAAAATAAATATACATACTAATATAGTATTACTACATATACATATATTACTATATTATTATAGTTTTAGTATCATTTTCCAATGTCAAACCAAACAAATCAAAGAATATCCTAATCGTATTTATATATCTTTTGTGTTGTGTCAAATTTTAATATAAAAATAAATAGACATTTACTATTTATATAACAATATTAACTATTGATAAATATGCAAAGTATTTTGAACTAGTTATTCAATACGAAAAGGATATGACGACATATTAGTTGAATGATATTAAAATTGGCACCGTTCAAGGATAAGAATATGAATAGTGTAACGATTGGGTCGTGAAGATAGTACACTACTAGTTTGCGATATTCGTTATGAGATTCTAGCTATGCAACTGAGTTTATTTATTTATTTAAATAACTTTATTGACCAAAAGAAAATATGGTATAAAAGGCGGACTTAATGCTATTAGTATTCTCTACCAGTCATTTTAATTGAATTCATATTATGTAGTTCCTTTATATTTGTACAAAATCTCTTTTTAGTAATGGTATATTGTAAAACTGATGATTATTGTAGTATAGTGGTTAACATACCACTTTATTGTCAAATGGTTGCGAGTTGGATTCCCGTTCAATACAAATATTTGGATTCAGGAGCAATATATTTGAATACGTCTATTATAGTATTATACATGAGCAGTGTAATTATATTATGAAGGATATGTTTCGTAGTGGCAAAAAGAGAGTACTTTGGATGCTATAGTAAGTTTTATGTTCAAATTTATTTAAAAATCATTACTATACCTGCTTTTAATGTACTATTAAACATTTTATATATTTAATAATGTAAACATTTAATTTATATGTAATTAAACCGTATCTGTATGCACATCACGAAGAATTTAGAGGACGGATTTTAATGAATTTTGGTGTAAATAACTCAGTATCAACGTCAACAATAGGATATATTTTACTGCAATCGCAGACAATATAATACTATACTAGTAAAATGTGTCATTCCCACGGGAAAATATAAGATATTGCGCGCACAGACAGTAGCAAATAAAAATGATTATAATTGTAATTGATGTTGAGTATGAGGCACTATATATAATAATATGATTGAAAATATATTTGTATTTAAAATGAGAACATATTTTTGTATTGAATTAACTACGTTGAAAGGTTGCACCAGTTTTAAATACTAATTTGCATATGTATATTACATCGAGTTTGCTCAAATTTGGGCACGAGGAATAGCTGTGACATTAGGTACAAAAATCTTTACTTATATATTGTAAATATGAAAGTGTCTTTATTATCTGAACGTTTCAACCTATCGTCATAAAATTTAGTATATTTCATAAAGAAGGACATAGGTTATTTTTTATTTACGGCCAAATAATGTCCCCGTCACGCTTATTTAGCCTTGAGCACAGCTAGACTTAGAAAAATATCTCAAGATTTTATTTGTAATAATTGTATTGAAATTACCAAATTCAAAGGACATATATTTTTTTATTCAACTGAGTTATTTTGTTATAAAACTTTTTTACTTTATATAAAAATAAAGGCTCTCCTGAAAAGCTTTGATCCAACCTCGACATAGTTTTCGAATACGACTTTAATATTTGTATTTCAGTTAACACGATGTTGCCTTGGAGGTACGACTGCGGTCACAAGCCAAACTGTCAAACGTATATTGGAACAATGGCCATGAGGTGCGAAAGTTGACACGGGACAACGTGCGAGTCCATTCAATTACCTTTTTGTGAATGTATTTAGTAAAAAAACATAGCTGCTAGTTAAAGACTAAACGTTTATTAACAATCACCTATTCGCATGTTTAGTTATGTACCTATTTAGATATACTTAACTTTATTATAAGATTTCTTTAATTATTTTTTAACTACTTTTTATTTATTTTTCAAGACAAACAAGTTTTAAAGATGCTCATGTATTCATTTTTGTTAGGTATGCATTTGTATTAGAAGTTACTGGAAATGTATCGACGTTTCGTTGTTATTTTTATATTATATAAAATAATGAATTGAACAAGAACTAAACCAGATTAGATATTTTGTAGTATAATATCAAACTATGATATACTGGTACAATTAAAATATTTCTTAATTTACAAATTTACAGAAATAATATATTTAATTTTTTTTAATAATTCCCTAAAATTTTCACTTAGTAAAATATAAAGTATGCTCAAGTGATATGTTTATAATAGTTTATTAGAATTTCTTTAAACTGGTTATATTCATAAACTCTATTGGCATTGCCCTATAATTATAGTCGAGAGGAACTGTGCTGTTGATTCAAAACTGCAAGGACTTGAGACATATTCTCGTACATATTGTAAATCGAATTTATTATATCCTTGACCTGTACCTATATAATATAATGACGTCAAAAGTTAGGGTATTTGGGGTTATAATATATTTATTATAAGTATGACTGTATAAATATTGTAGAACTTACGTCCTCCTGGTTCCCATTTTGGCACCGTTCGATAACAGACAACAAAACAAAACCACTATTTTTCCAATAAAACGTTCGATTGTCCATACGTTTGAAAAACGCGTTCGAAACCGAGCCGTGTGGCTGACGCGCGCCCGTCGCCTCGAGCGGCCTGCTTCTGCTGCAACCACGACCGTGGCTGGGAGGCTGCGAGTTGCGAGCTGCGACCGACTCGACACCCGACCCGTCAGTGCTCGCGAGAGAGAAAGTTGCCAAGTTATCAAACTCCGTGGTTACGTTCGATGATGACGCTATCTTCCCCGCCGACGACGATTGCGTATTCGATGACAAAATTTAATTCGCGCGTCCCCGCGACAATTTACGCGCTACTGACACGGTGAACACACTACCTACTTTTGCCAGTTTGTTGTTTATTTGCTTTATTTTTAGTTGTATGGATGTTGAGGAAGTAAAGTATGCACGCGAGGAATTGATTCGAGATGAATGGCGTTCAGTCGCAACACGATTTCATTTTATATGCTAAAACAGTTGGTTTGATTGTGGACGAGTGACGTTATGATGTTGTATATTACGGAGTTTGATCATTTATGCAGCTATACTGGTTAGCTTTTTCGGTTTCATCTTTATAAAAAGTTTCCTAATTAGGTTCTGTGCAAATTTTGAGAAATCTCTTCAAAATGTTCACTAACGTTAAATTAGAAATGGTTATTTTTATTTTAAACAGCAATTTTCAATACATAGAAAATTGTCTAGAAATAGAATGTAATGAAATGTAAATTGGATTCTCTTTTCCGCGCTTAGCCTCTCTTTTACTTATTTATTTTTCACTTTTTGAAGTATTTATTTTTAGAACTATAATTAAATATTAATTTAAATATAAATAAATATTTAAAAAAATTAAAAATAATAAAAAAATATCTATTACTAAAATATTTATGAACATTTTTAAACATTTAAACATTGACAAGTAATAACAATTACATCTATATCAATAAAAATAACTAGAAATTTTTATATACATTTTTTATTAATTTTAAAATAATTCAAAGATTTTTAATAGGATCAAGATTTCATAGGCACAATTTAATAATTATTGCATCTATTTAGATTTTATTTTGAATACTATTTATAGAGTAACTTTACGTAACAGTTTAGCCGCACCAGTTTATAATTAACTAGGCAAGGCAATGTCGAGTACGGATATTCCTTTATTAGGTGATCATAAAATGGTATAATTAATTGTAACATTTCCGCTCTTTGTTTGTATAGTATTTTAACTCATTCATCTCAGTTATTATCAGATACTTAGCCGTCGATATCTAAAGGTTTAAAGCACCTTAAAAAATTTTAACAGTATGATTGAGTAATAATGAATATACTCCAATTTAATGTAGTAATTAGGACAGATATCAATGAAAAATCAACATTTCCTCTTTATTTATACTAAAATTTAAAGTGGATGAATTTTTCAATTAGTCTGTAATTGTTACGCGATATCTTTGTGAATTTCAAATTGATACTCCTATGTTCTCCTATCATTTAAATTTTGATATGATTGCAGTCGCAACTTTTTAATTGAACCATTTCTTGAGTTATTGAGTAGGTAGTGTCTTATAAATTAAATAATATCCATTAAGGATACATATCTAATTATTGTCGATAGTTTCTTTTTTAATTAAATAATCCGTATATGGTCACTCGTCTTAAACTGAATTTGAGATGACAGCTCTATTAACCTTTGACGTTCGGTTTATAATGTTGAAATATCTATTCTCATTGTGTTATTAAAATAAATTTACTAATAAAAAAAAGGCCATGTAATCTTCGTAAATTTAATTGATTATATATATTAGTTATTATGTAAAAGTTTATTATAAAGACAGTAGTCAGAAGTTCAGACACATTGCTACTGATCAAGAACAAGTCAGACATAAATTATTTTTGACAGTTCGGAAATCAAAGTCCACTTCCCAAGTTTCCTATGTAATAGATTATATCAAATTTAAAATGATGAAATCTTTTTAAATTTGAAATAATTGTTTTTTTTTCATATGTATATATACTTTAAAGAGTAGAATATTAATTTTACTATATGCTATCATGAAAATATATGTGCTAATATGTGTTAAACACAAGAGTTGTAAAGGAAGATATCTAGTGTGATCTTTAATATGAGTTATTGTTATTCCTTATTTTGTAAAATGTTTTTTATCCCCTATTACCGAACAATATACGAATAATCGTACACGGTGTGGTCCAGGTATAGATTGGGTCAGCCCTTTCTTTCTCGTGGGTGGTGAAAGTGGCGACTTAGGAAACTTAACGGTCGAGGGATGGGCAGCAGCATTTTAAAACATCACTAAAAGTTGTCTGCGCCTGCCAAGCGTAGCAATTATTAGCAAGTCTCCACTTATGGGGAAGACCTATGTTCAGCATTTGACAATTAATGATTAATATGATAATTAAAAAAGAATAATAAATACACGGATACACATCGGATTATTAATCAATCCCGATTGTACTTTTTTTTCTTGATTTTTTCTGACCCACTCGTTTTTGCCTTTAAGCAGATGTTTCAAACTAAAATACAGTCATGTAAGAATAGACCTATGACAATAAAAGTACAAGGTACGGAGGTATAATAAGTTTATTTTTAGAAAATGAAGAGTACTATGATCATTATTGTATATTCTCTGATGTACATAGTGCTATTAATGAATATTGCTAGCTTATTTGTTATTCTAAGTTGAAAAAATAACTATATTGGTATTTATATATTCTCGTCTATATTGGTTGTTTATATATTATCATTTACGTATATACAACTAGCAATCAAGTTTCTTTATAGAGCCTTATACAATTGACCTTCAATAGTTCAAGTGTAAAAATTTTTAACAATTCATTTCAGAATATTTTTTCCATTTGGTTAATTTTTGATATTCAGATTGATTGGACGTTTGATTGATAAGCGATCAAATCTATCACATAGGTTTAATTTTTTGGTTTTAAACTCCATTGTGAAAGCTAAAAAGATGTAAAATTATAAAAAATATTGGTATGGGATTCAATTAGTATGGAATCAATATGGAAGTAAACTTTTGCGTTTTTAAAAAAGATCACTATAGTCCAAAGATATTTGAAAAAAAAATTTTGCATAATATAAAAAGTAGAGATTTATTTACTACTTATTTGGAAATAAAATGATTTGCCATTAAAATACCATAATTAATCTAAAATAGTGAGCTGGCGTTCGTGTTATATAACTGTCAATATAGTTAAAAATATACGCTATTAATTTAAAAGCACCTGATAACCCTTCTCTATTTCTTGATCATTATTTCACGGGCGTATTATGGAACAAATAAAGACATAGTGTACGGACATTATGGTTAGACACTTATTAAAATGATTGATTTCCTTTCGAGGCAAGATGAAAGTCAGGTGAAAGGTTGTGAGTACTTTTTATATAAAGTTATAGTGGAACAAGTCCGTGAAACTGCCTATGGATTAAAAACAAAGCAGGTTGTAATATTCATGGAAACATAATATTCGAGCAACAAAGGGATATTAAACTGCATATTAGTTTGTTAAATGTATATTTTTTATGATTAAATCTTAAATATTCGATAAAATACAATTTATTTATTAAAAAAGACCTTTTTTAAGAAGTTCTAATTAAAGCTATTACCGTTAAAAATATTTCACCACATATATCAAGACATTTTTTAAATACTGCAATATCATAATTATAAAAGTTAAGTAACAAAACCCACGTGAGAGAGTTAAACGTCAATGTACAGATAAGTGAGGTTATTATATTGATCGTGTATTGCATAATACGCGGGTTAATATTTATTCGATTGTACGCGGTTACGTTGCTTTCACTTTTGCGAACAGTGGGTAAGAAAAGTCAAGTGACAAAACTAAACGAAGTAGATGTGGCGAGGCTGTGGGAATCTTTTCATCTATTTAGGTCGATTGCCGAAATGCACCATGTTATAAAAGTTAGTATGAATCTTAATTGTGGATTGTTCTATACATATGTACAGAGAAGGTCAAGGGAATGTAACCATTTAATATTCTGTTGCTAACAGCTGTTTCGATGGAGGGAAAAATGTATTTTTTTACTCTACATGTATGTGTTTAGTACATAACGTGATGATATAAATATATCTTCATCTTATCAGCTAGTTACTGTCCACTGTTAAATGCAGGCAAAATCAAATTTCAAGGTTCATAACCCAAAAATTATATTTTAATATTATACATACTTTGAATTCTTCAGTATTTCATGGTCGTTCTACTTTTTAATATAATAAACAACAAGAGAACAGAGAAAGATATTCTTTAGGTGGAGTTAAACCAAGCGTTTGTTTTAGTGTCAACGTGTATCTTGACATGGTCCATCTTTTCGTTGCTTGACTGCATTTGCAAACAGTTTATTATTATCGAGATGCTCTCTTTAGGCTAATATGGTCATATTTAATGAGAATATTGATACAATAGAATTTTGAGATATGGAGAAGAGGTAAACTAGTTTTGTTCTGAATTTATTTTTGCTGGATGGGTAAGTTTTACTCTAATAGAAATAATACTATTTAGTACTAATTTCAAAGTATGAATTGAGAATTAGAGAACCCTATATTTTATTTTCGCACAAAATATATGATATTAATCATTATACAAAGTTACAAAAATGTTATGAAATTTCAAATATTTTTTTTAAATAAAAATGTAAAATTTCGATCTCTACTTGTTTTATTGAGTTTGAAATTAACTGGTTCAATTATAATGGTCTTTAGTTATATATTTCATCATTATTTAATAATTTTGAGACCATCAGCATCGTAACGATTCATAACATTTCTGGTCTTTTTTTTTTAATTTATAAACTAATTTTAATCTTAATAAGGCACATAATGCAAATTGTGGTTTCGACTTATTTAAACCTGAAATTGGCTTGGATTTTTTAATATATTACAAAAAACATGGATGACACTATGTTATGTTATATAGGTATATATTGTATAAAATAATTATACCTATTTTTTTATCTATCTACCTTCCAACAAACACAAAACATTTGTTATAATACAAATACTTTACATGTGAAGCATTTATATTAAGTTTTCTAACATGTATAAAATAATGTTTGATCCAAATTTGAAGAGGCATAAACGTCGTAAAAATTCTGTTTGTTCTACTAAAGCATTTAAAAAATGCTTCTCAAAAAATTTTTATTGTTTTCTAAGTAGTTACTTATATAATAAAATCAACGCTCAGTTGTCAATCTACCGACATCATAGGTACGCTTGTAAAAAGCTCATATCCAATTGGTTAAAATCACTTGACTATGATGCTACAGAGGCCTTACTTATCCCACAGATGTGAGAAAATAACTAACTACCTTAATTTTTATATGAATGCGTACAAACACAAATACACACAGCGAGAGACACGCACATACACACAC